TGGGGGGGGGGTATAGACACTTGGACTAGGAGTGCTTGACGTGATGCTTCAGGATTTACAAAAAATAATGATAACTCGCACGTATGCGCGCACACACACACACACACACACACACACACACACACACACACACACACACGCGCGCGCGCACACAAACAAACAAAGACACTCAGGGGGCATCCAAGTAATTTATGGACACCCCTGGAAAAATTCTAAGTCAGCTTTGGCAGTCACCTTGGTGATTTGTTGTTGATCCCGATTTTTTTCACCAAATCCCAATTTTTTCTCCCTGAGATCCTGATTTTGAGGTTTCATAGAGTGTAAGGTCTGAAATACAAATAAAAATAGGAAGTGACTATTTCTCTGAATGTCGGAGAAATAGTGCCGATCTTTATTTCTCCGAACGGTTTCCGGCTTCCGCTCTCGTGATTGTTTGCCTATTTGCGAGAGTTCGGCGCCAACTTTCATTCTGCCATTCTGCGAGGTCTGGGAATGAGCAAATCAAAGATGGTATCTGTTCTCAGCTTCTCCTCCGGCCTTGTGCCCACTGGTTTAGCGAGGCAGTTACTGCCCGAGGCACCCGAGGGACGGAGAAATCTGCCCCTCTTTTCTATCGAGTGGACGGTTATCGTGCATTAAAAAAAAAAAAGGAGCAAATTTATGGGTTTAGATCTATTTCAATTTTCAAAAGCTAGATCTAGTCTAGAGATTTTTAGATGAGTGTAAAAACGTGAAAAAGAAAGGTTTCACAGCAGAATGAAATCAAAATTAGAACAGCCCATAAACAACCACAAACATGAACAAATAAGGGCATGTGTCCACCTGTCCGAAGAAGATTGGCCGTTTTAACCCTAAATGTGTGTAATTTTTAAAAAGTACAGGATATTACATGTAAATTATGGAATCACGCACAAGATGCCTGCCAGTGTCAGTACATGTAATTGGTTTTGGTGGAACGCTCTAACAAAACACATTTAAATCTATACAGGTATATATATTTAGAATTTAATGAAAGTAGGAACATCAAATTAAATGATGTTACACTATACAACACCCCCCC